GTTAGATATTTTGCTGCCTGGAGTGGTTGGGAGTTGCTTCTAATATACTTAAAAACTACCAGTTGGTTAAAGATGGCTATATGTGGATGTTTTACATTAGAATAGCCAATGTTTTGTTGACCAAGGCCTGTATGTAACGTTTATGAGAAAATCAAGGCTGCACTAGGTGAGACAATGCTACAAGTGGATAGATTGTCTATTCCCGTGGTTTAGAGGCTGAACTTTGAATGTATTTGCTTTATATTATTTACATTCAATTTCTTTAAATGTTTATACAACAGTTTGGTGTAGATCTTACCTTAGAATAGCAGGAAATATATGAAGATACATAGTCTACTCCTTCAACTGTATTTGGGGTATACAGCTGACTACAAGGCATGATAACCTTGAGTATTCAGGTTTCCCTTACTATGTTACATAGTAGTTTCTTTAATATTTTTTCTCTGTAAACGAAGTTAATTTTAATAATTTAGAAATATAGTAATTATTCAGAAGTAGTATTCTTTTATATCATAACTTCCCATGTTAGTTTAATTTCATTTTCTGTATTTTGTGCTGTAATTTTCTTTCAAAGAAAAATTTAAATCATATAAGTCACCCCTGATGTTTCTGAGCACTAAGTAGGTTTGTACTCAGTTCCTTGATGCTATAATGTTTGATGCACTATCTCTAATAAAACCCACATATTAACATTTAAAATAAGCTTTTGTCAGGATTTCTTTTGTCTTCCCAAATATTGACACTCTTTTTTTTTTCTCCTGCACCATTTTGTTTCCACAGGTCATTGGACAGTTGTAAGAGAAGGTCTTACAAACCCCTGGATCCCTGATAACTGGTCATGGGGTGGAGTAGCATCAAGTCACTGTCCAGTTTTAGCTGAATTTTACATTGAGAGGGACTGGAATAAAAAGGATCTAACTCTAAATGGAGGTGGAGTGCTAGTGGAGTGCACTGATGTGAATTCTAAACATGAGCGGTGATGAAAAAGAGGAAAGCTACTTTTTTCTTTTCTCAAAAGATGGTTAGAAGATAGCTTCGTTCAAGTTCTGACAGTGAACAAGAACTGCTGTGTATTTTATTTTCATTTTAAAATGAATATGCTTTTGCTTTTAACATCTTTCCTATTCTTATTTCTGACCCCTTTGTGGATGTTTTAGGACATCCCATTGCCACTGTGTGGATTGTGATTTATGGAGACATGGAGGTTTCTGTGGATATACCTGGATAACTGCAAATAAAATCCACTTACTAATACTGTTTGTTCACAATCTCCATTATTTTGCTTCTAATAAAATACTACCTGTGTTTCCCTGAAAATAAGACCGGGTCTCATATTTATTGGGCCACTAAAAAAGGCACCAGGTCTTATTTTCGGGGAGATCTTATTTCCGCCCATTTTTTCCCTGTATGGCGGAGGGTGAGGGTGAGCTGCCCTCCTGCCTTGCACCTCCTTGTCTAATGCAAAACAGCTGATCTGTAGCTGCTTTGGGAGCCTCCTTGACTAACATGAAACAGCTGATCTACGCCTGCTTTAGAGCTGCCTTGCCTAATGTGAAACAGCTGATCTTTAGGGGCTGTTTCACATTAGGCAAGGAGACACCTGAAGTGAGTGTAGATCAGCTGTTTTGCATTGGCAAGGAAGCTCCTAAAGTGGCTGCAGGTCAGCTGTTTTGTGGAAGCCGTGCAGGCTCCTAAAGTGACCACAGATTAGCTGTTTCTCGGAGGCATGTTGGGCAGTTCTCCCCTCTCCTCTCCTTCCCCCCTAGCCTTCTCACCTTGGGTTGCGTCACTGCAAGCAACCAAAGAAAATGGCTGCTAGCTGTGCAGGCACTTAAATAGGTCTTATTTTGAGGGTAGGGCTTGTATTCAGCACATGTGCAAATAACATGATAGGGCCTACTTTCGGGATAGGTCCTATTTTTGGGGAAACAATATAATTGAACCTAATAGCTCCTGGAAGAACAGACTTGGGCAACCTGTTTTTAATGCATTCTGTTATCTGCTTGAGATACTTCAGCAATAGAAAAAATCTTCAGTGCTATTGCATATAATACCCAGTCTTGACCTAGAGATGAGTTATAAGCTGCATCATTTGAAGTAAAAAAAAAACTCCAAAATTCATTGAAAAGCTTATCATTTTACAATTCAGATTATGTTGGCCTTATCTAGTGCCTTCTAGATCACTTAATTTAAAAAATATAAACAAATATTAATAATTAAAACTCCCTAAGTCCCAACTAGCATGACTATTGGGACTTATTCCTAAAACCTTATGAAATTTGAACATCCCTTAGCCAGTTCTGTCCATAAGTGCATGCCTGATTTACATTTCATTCATTTAAATGGTATACATTCATTAGCTATCATAGTTTAAAAGTATATGCAGAAACACAACAATTCTTGTAAGGTATCAAAAGGTTGTACATGACAAGGGATCAATTATATATAATACAATAGTTTTTCCCAACTTTTAGATACAGTAGGTATATAGGTGTCAGAATTCCTAGTCATGAACAAAGAGGAAGTTGTATCTCCTAAAACTTGAATGCTGAAATACAGCATTATTGTTCTGTCTCCACTACATGTTAGTTTGTGTGCAGCTCGACATGCAGCTAAAAAAGACCATGTGCATAGATCTGAATGTTTTATTGAAAGAACAGGATATGGTGAAACTGAGAAAAATAGGGATACATATAAGAACCAAGTATAAGATAGACGTAATAAGTTACTGCTGAACATAACAATTAATAAATACAAGCAATTTAAATCTCATCAGTGATGCTTTGTGTGGTATATGGGTTTGTCCTTGGATGATCGTTTGCTTCATTTGTGAGATCAGCTTCAAACAATATACTTAGGGCATATTTGTCTCTCTGGCCACTAGATGGGGCTAGAGGGTAACAACAGTATATAAAGATAGTATGGTGTGGCATGACAATTGCATTCAAGTTTGCTTATAAAACACATTGTAAAGTTTATAGAATTTTTTACCTCATAAAGCGGTAGTTTTTCCTGAAAAACAGTCTAGACACAAGCACAAACCTTTTCTAAGAGTTCTGCACGTTCTTCACAATGTTCTTTGAAGTTCAATTCTCAGATAGTATGCATAGGGGGGGAAAGTGAACATAACAAAGGATGGCCCCTGTTCTTGTCCTTATCCTCTAAAGAAAAATAATATATTGCTCCATTCATTAGTTTATGATGAATTCTTTAGCCTGGAAAGAATTTGTCCATGTCTTAACAATTGAAGGGAAATGATAAACAATCTTTTGTGTTTCTGTTTCATGTTTACTCTACTTTTATCAAGAAATGCATTATCTAGCAAGGATAATTGGATAATATTTCCTTTTATTGAACTTGGGTTCCAGAGGGAATAATTGGAGTTGTACTCTGAATTCTGTTGATTCAACCTTTGCTTTTTTTGGACATATCCAGTGATGTATTAACCATTAAGCAGACTAAATACATGCTTAGGGCACCAGGCCCAAAGGGAGCACCACAAAGTTGAAAATATAGCTTTGTTTGTATAGCATGTACAAAGGAGGGGGGTCATCAAAATTTGTCAGTGCTTAGGGCACCAATGAGCCTTAATCCACCACTGGATGTATCTCCAGGTTCTATACAGGTAAAAACACTATTCTGAATCTGTTTTTTAAAATCTGGAATTTGTATAACTTGTACATGAATGTATGTATGTATGTATATATGTATGTTGTGATCCAACATAACTGAGGAAAACAGATTGGGAAATGTTGCTTTGTATTACAGCCAAATAGGATTGGTTGACTTGGTATGACTTCTTAAAGCATGCTTAAAGCCAAGCATATAGATAGTATGTTTCATAATCCCTTATCCGAAATATAAGCATATTTTTTAAATTGTGATAAATTGATAAAAGAATTGTACTTGTTGGTTCAAATACATTTATCTAGAAATAACTTAATTGGGTGATATATAACCATAATGAGACAGTCTGGGAAAGACACTTTATTTTACCGCTTCATTACAGCTGCTTAATAATAGGTTTGTCACAAAGAATCCAGCAAAACTTCACAAAACTACCATTACAAATCCAAAATATTTTACAAAAAGAGAAAAAAAAATCACTTTATTAAAATGAATTGATAGGGTAGTCCTTCTGATGGAGAAATCAGCTGTCTATCAAATTACTAATGTATTCTAAGGTAGAATAACAGGTAAATTGCACCATATTTTTAAAGCATTCTTTGTGAATGGAAGATGATTTTGCATATACAAATATCCATATATCACAATTTTTCCATATTCCTGTAAAAATGACACTTGGCAGGGCAGAATGACAAACACATTGCTAATAATAATTTGAACATGATAACATTGCATGTAAAATTAGAACATTCAATATGTGAAGTCTATAATCTGCATGTTTCCATTCATTCTTTAAGAATGTAATGTTGCTTTCAATATGTAAACTCTAGATATAGACTGACAAGGGAATGATCAGGCTGGTTAATAAAAATACTATTGCTGCTAAATACTTTTGTTTGAGAAAAATGAGTATAGATACCAGTAATAGCAAGTTAGGAAAGCTATTGTGAAATTCATTGTTTTCAACAGTTACATTCTAAGATTGGATTTAGGTTTTACCAAAGAGCTAAATAGATGGTGTGGTGTTTCTCCTGTTGCATGACAAGACTTGTTGGTCAATTCAGTCAATAATGATTCCTTTTATTCGTGGGCTGTCATCATTTTTTGTTAAGATTTGTTACTTTATTCTCCCCAAAACCCAGAATTATGTTTTTCTTCAGACCTATATTTATTAACTACAATTGCAATGGGTTTAATGGGATAGGTTCAGGACAGGTAAGAAATAAATGCAGAAACATACTGACCCTTAGCTATATTAACATGCTGTATTAAGACCTTTTAAATGATAGCATACAGTTACAGCAGCCCTGCTCTGAAATAATATAAGGTACAGTCACAGTCGCTATCAAAACAATAAATACTGAAGCAATACATACAATGAACACGTAGACTTTATTTGGAGATAAGCTGTTGCTTAACTGGGTTAATAAAATATTACGATGGATCATCAATTTAATTGAATTTTTGCCTAAACAACACTACCAGAGATCTCTATTCATTGAATTCACATAGTTCAGAAATCGATGTTTATGGATCCAATTTATGAATCCAACATAAACCAAACTGTAATAACAAGACACAATGATTTGCATCAAATTCAATACATATTTGTACCATCACAATTCTAATATGATGAATTATTAATTTTTCCAGTCTTCTTGTTATATGTTTTCATTCAATCTATAATTTTGCATCAATAGGCTGTCACTGAATTAAATAATGCCAAGATGTATGGAAATATTTGGAAAACCTACTCTAAAATGGGTGTAGAGTTCTACCTCCCATCATTGTGCTAAAATCAAAGCATCAATATCTTAAAAAGAAAAAAAACAAAACCTGGTGGGCTAGTCTAAACTTTTCAGATAGGCTTCAGTGCTTTTGCAGTCATGCATAAACGAATTGGAGATTTTTGTTTAAGTATACAAATCCATTTACACTCTATATTAATCTAACAAAACATCTCACAAGCATTACACTATGGAGCCTCTTTATAACTATATCAGTAACAAACAGAAAGAATTATTTACATATCAATATATTTCAGTGCGAGTCTAAAATAGAGGATAAAAAATAGAATTCCAAGTTTGATTTCTTTCCCATTTCCTCTTGTAAATTTATTTATACATGATCAAAAATAAAATTAAGAGGAAAATAATGTCATTTCTTTAAATTTCCTGAAATATGAAAATACAAAGACAAGTCAGTGGAATGCACTTAGGAAACATGGTGGGAGATCATTTTCCTTCTCTGCCCTTTCATGTAATTCCCATTACTGAATTACAATGAGACAAATGACATCAAGTGGATTATACATTGTAAGTGCAAAATCTACAAGACTACAACATCCATCCATAGTCATGAGATGTAGTTATGTTTCCAATACCTTTCAAGCATTCACTGGTATCCTTGCTATTCTAATGGTTAAAGCCCAGGTAATGACTGTGGTGATAGCAAACCCCATAGTAGGGTATTGATCCTTTTTGATATAGCAAAAGACAATTGGCTAAATAAATCAAAAGAAGCTTAAGTCCCAAAATATTAAATAGTATACTGTGGAGAGACAATTCAAAAGCCAGTAGAATCTGAAAATGTGCTATTGACAAATTTACACAATAATTTCTTAAAGTATATGTCTGTGTTACAACTATAATTTAATCTGTTTGGTTTACATATAGCTTCATGCTTAAAATGGCCAAACTGGATTTTTCTTTCTTTCTTTGAAAGACAATGAGTTTCAGATTTGTAGCTAGAGTTTTTCATTCTTAAAAAACAGAAGCAGGTCCAAAAAATATAGGTTTTGCCAGGGATCAAAAATAAGTTCAGTTAATCTACTCTATGAGTTATATCAGATCTAAAACATAACGACTCGTGAAACAAGAGATAGGTTGGTTTAGGGTACAAGAGCTTGGAGTTCAGTGTCAGATATCTCATTGACTCCCATGATCTTTTCTAGATGTTCCATGTACCGAGAATAGTCTTGCAAAAAATGTGGCACCCTCATGTTTTCAGTCATTCCTAAATCCTTCAGACGATCCACATCCTCATATGAAACCTGGACATCAGGGAAAAAATAATTTCAGGCTTATTTTATTTCAAAGCACCTAATTTCTCTAAATATGCTTTCACTTTTAGTGGTAGCCCCACCTGGTACTTCAGCATGAAACCAAAATTGGAAGCAAATACCTTTAACAAAAATAAAGTGCAATGCAGGAAAAAGCAAATGGCAGCAGATGGTTGACCTGGTCTGGTCTTTAAAGCTAGGTGATATTGAATCTTATTAGTACTTAAAACTGAGGCTAATATAACTCTGTCAAAAAAGTGTGCATATGTATACATGTAAGTCCAGGAAGTCAATGGGAAAGAAGCTCAGCTCAAAGAAGACCGTATTTTACGGTCTCCTAGTATGAAATATTGTTTTATTTTTTGGGAGAAACCAACTTATCTTTTTTATTCAGTAGACATAAACCCATTTCAGGAGCTTATAAAACACTGCTATACCAGTATTTTGAAAATAAATTTTATCTATGTCACAGGTATTTCTGGTGCAAGTAAAATTGGGACTCCAGAATTGGGCACTTACAAAGACTTTTCTTTGTACAAAGATTTTTCTTTTTTCCTTTTCTTCCAATAATCAAAGTCCTTGGATCAGCAGACCTCTACTGGACTTAAACGTTGGAGGAAGAGGATATTTCTCTCCATTTTTCTGTTTTAGTAGCATTTACAAGTTTCCCTTCTAGCTGCTCAAATAGTTCTAAACCTAAGGGAGGAGAAATAGAAAATATTCCATTCCATATTCTTCTGAAATAAAGTGGGATGGTTTCATATAAAGTAATTGTATCTTTTCAATGTTTTAAGCACTACAAGTATAAATTCAGGAATATCACAAAACAGCTGGAAAAGGTTCAGGTCAGCTTTTAGTATTAAAATGAACATCATTAAAATAACCATGAAGTCGCTTTTCAGAAGAACAGTAAAAATAAAGGAAGTCTTTGACTTACGACAACTGAGCCTAAAATTTTCATTGCTAAGCAAGACAATTGTTAATTGAGCTTTATGACTTTTCTTGGCACAGTTGTTTGGTGAATCACTGCAATTATTAAGTTAGTAACAGGGTTAAGTGAATCTAGCTTCCCCATTAATTTACTTGTCAGAAAGTCACAAAAGGCAATTGCATGACCCTAGCACACTGAAACTATCATAAATACATGCCAGTTGCTAAGTAACTGAATTTTGATCATGTGACCACAGGGGATGCCACAATGGTCGTAAGTGTGAAAAATGGTTATATGTCATTTTTTTTCAGTGCCATTTTAACTTTGAAAGATCACTATATGAATGGTTGTAAGTTGATGACTAGCTGTAAATATTATCTGTAAAAGCTTTACTAAAAAGCCTGGGAGTTGCATAAAAGAGCCTTACTATCCTAGTCTCTGGCTGTGAGGCCATGTTTCTGAGACTGGACTCATGGAGTCAGCTGGGATTATTATTATCCTACTGACCTCCCTGTTGCATAGCAATGTTCCTGTCTGAACTGCCAGAAGCTGTCGCAGGATTGTCAGTGGAGTTCCACAAACTTACAGTTCTGGGTGATCTCAATCTGCCTTCCCTGAGAATTTGAAAAACTTCTCTGGGTTGAGAAGTGCCTCAAAATTTCACGACCTCCATGATGGCCATGGGTGCCTATTCCAGATTGTCTCAGGTTACACACCAGATCTAATTGTCCCTAAAGCTGACCTGACAAAAGCCATCTTGGAAGCTTCAGTGTTGCCGCATTGGAGCTGAAGGATAGGGAGGGGGGATTTGAGATAGCTGGGATTTGTAGCCAAAGCAAAATACTTTCTCTTGGGAACCAAGGACATTCTCACACCTGGTCAGAGGAAAGAGGAGTGATGGCACCAGTGTTATGATATATAACAACCCTTGAATAACAAGGATATGCACATGGAAATGTTTATGAGAGTAATTATGAATAATTATCCAGCCACACACAGATATACTAAATTGAGTTAAAGTTTACTTTAAGAAATAGCACAGTCCAATAAACGGTTCAGGTCATATATGTTTAACAGTCCAAAGAATATCCAATTACAAAGTCTTCTTACTGGTTGCCTTTGTCATTTACAGTAAACAAAAATATCAAAGTATAAGCACAGCATAAATACAATAGAGAACTTTAGATAGCAACAGAATGTCAGAGAGACAGAATGTCAGAGAGACAGAATGTCAGAGAGAACAAGCCATGATCTCTAGTTCCCTCTTATGGCAACCTGCAATACAATCAACCAATCGGAATATAGTATAAATCAACACAGTGATTTTGTCTTAAAGCTACAAACATACATTGCTGGTTTATATATTGCCAACCCAACTAATTGGTGGACAGATTCCTAACAACCAGGCAACCAGACAGCATCATGATTGGACCATGTGACTCATTATTTTCAGAAAGTGACAAGCTTAATTAAGTGAAAACACGGGAACCTTCAGAGTCGGTTTCCACCAATATGATACATCCAATAAAGGTATTATTTGAGGAATTCACCTGCCTTGTTTTGCCTGTTATGGGTCTATTACTTGGAACCCTGACATTAAAGCTACTCTGCCAAATTCAAAGCTCCAACAGGAGCTGCTATATGGGATCCTGAGCCCTGACTACTTACCCGGTCTAACTGGGCAGCAGGAAGATTCATGGAAGAGAAGACCGGAGAGGCTGCGGGCACCTGTGGAGCTCATGGAGGAGCCCTAGAAAGCCTACCAAACCCCACGGAGGTTCAGCGGGTGAAGGAAGCGATGGTGGAGGTGGCATGCCCAGTGGGCGCCCGGTCCAAAGTCTGTACTGAATGGCCGGCCACTCAGGAGCTCTACCGAGTGGAGGAAGACATTGGCTGCTGCGATACATTCCAGGCACCAGGGGGAGAGCACTCAATCTCCTCAATGAGGGAGGGAAGAACAACGATCCTTGAGTGGAGGTTGACAGGCCCTGTAGACTTCAGTGAATCCAGGGACTGGGTGTACCAGACTGCAGCTCATCACCAAACCTTGGGGTTGCTGTCAGAAAGACTTGGCCAGCTGAGCCTCAGCAACATCGGGCACTCACATGAGCCTGAACAAGTGAGAGTGATCCTGAACTAGCCAACTTTGACGTTTCCCCCAATGAGGGATCAATCTACTTGGGCTGTGACTCCTCCACTGCTCCTATCAGCACACTTCATCCCACAACTGAGTCTCCCCAGTTGACACTGGTCAACCACCGCTACAACCTGTGCAGCCAGCCCACTACCACCTTCGGCTCAGTTGAGCACCAGACCACAGTGAAGCCTGCCTAGACACTGGAGACCAGCTAGCTTGCTAAGACAATCTCAGCTGCCACCAGCATGGCAGGTGTCACCTGGTTGGGCTTACTACCCGGGGCAAGGCTGGGTCCAAGCCCAGTGGATGCCTGCCCCAGCTGCACTGCCGCTGCCTCCTCCTCATCCAGCCCAGCCTGCCATCCCACTGCGCTTCAGAGCTGCCTTCAATGGAAATCCGGATAAACCTGCCTTCTACCCGAACTAGGTGTGGGCTTACATCGATCGCTATAGGGACTACTACCCTAATGACCAGGAAATAATCACCGCCATCACCGAAAAGCTGGAGGGGGAAACTGTGGAGTGGGTAATCCAATTGCATGATGAAGACACCTCTGAGCTACGGAACATCAACAAATTCCTGCAGGAATTGAGAAAAAGGTTTGAGGTCACAGGCCAGGGCCAGGAAGCAGAGGCAGAAATTAAAGCGATCAAGTAGAGGGGGCACTCAGCCAAAGAGTATGTTGGAGAGTTTTGGAGATTTGCTGGAAAACTTCAGTACTGGTCTGAACGCCTCCTAGTGCACTTTTTAAAGGAGGGCCTAAACAAGAAGTTATGCCATGCCTGTGTTTGCCGGAGCATCCCAGACCGTGTCCATGACTAGTATTAGATGGCAGTGGCCATGGATATCAAGGTCCACCGGCACCCTAAAGAAACACTAGTGAAGAAGCCCAAGAGACAGCTCAGTCGGCGTTCTGTTTCCCACCAAGCAGAAGAGCAGCCCAGGGGAACCTCAATGACATCAATCAAATGTTTCTGGTGTAGCCAACAGGGCCATCGTGTATCAGAATGCCTGGCAGTGACCTCTGTCCCCCAAGCAAAGATCCCTGCATCAGCCAAACTCAAAAAGCTGATGCGGAAACCCACAGAAAAGGGGAAGTTTGTCCACGAAGCCCTCGAGGCCATCCATCCATCCATTCGCTATTAAGTCAAGACTAGTGGTGCCTAAGAATGGAGCCCACAGCGAAGTAGACTAACATAGACACGGGATGCACCCGGTGTCTGATCAGCCTCCTCTTCTGTCAGAAAATAGGCATCCGGACGAAGCCCTTAACCAACTCCATACGCTTCAAGCAAGTCAATGGGTATTAATTGGGGGAGCCCCTGCCACTTGTCACTGAGCCCATGTGGTTAGAGATGGGTTGCCACGGAGCTCATCTGGTTTGTGGTGGCTCCAAAATGACTGAAGCAGTCATCCTGGGCCTGGCATGGTTGGACAAATGGAGTCCTACCATTTCATGGGAAGGCAGCTACTGAAAAATAAAACTGGGATTAGGTCCTCTTCCCCCTCCTAGCCCTACAGGGAAGGATCAGTCAGTCAGCTGGAAGGCCCGAAGCAAAGCAAAAAAGCCACTGCTACCTCAGAGTAACAGCTAGGGAGCCCCAGATACTTAGAGAGCATGGTGACTTGGCTGAAGTTTTTAGTGAGGAGGAATGCAATGCCCTACCATCTCACCGCCCCACGGATTGTGCCATAGAATTTGTGCCAGGAGCCAAACTGCCAAAGCTAAAGATGTATTCCATGACCCCAAGACAGATGACAGAATTAAGGGATTACATTGACACTAACTTGGCCTGAGAATTCATACAACCAGCTAAGTCCAGAGTAGCCGCTCCAGGCCTCTTCAAAGAAAGAAAAGATGGATCAATGAGATTATGCATTGATTTTAGGGAATTAATGCATCATGCATAGAAAACATCTACT